AGTAGTAGTAGTCGTAGTAGGTAACGCCCTGCGCGTCCGGGTCCCTAGTAGTGAACCGTTATTCTGATGTTGTTTCGCTATGCTTTGCGTGATTTTGTGTTTTCTGGAAGCTCATGCGGCCCATGTTGGGCCCCAGAATGAAAATTTGCATTAATGGTTTTCAATGTGGTTTTTGGGCTTAAGTTGGCCCCGTCCATTTAATCGGATATGCTGGAACCGAACGTCCTGTGCGCCCAGGCACCCCGTTGTCGAAGGTGGAGGATGATGAGGAGCTGGGACAGGACGATGATGATGGTGACGATGATGCTGTCGTGGTGATGATGATGGTGCTGGTTGTCATGATGATGATTGGGATGATATGCATGATAATGATTGTGAGCATGATGATGATCATGATGATGCTGATGACTAGGAGGAGGTGATGGCGATGCTGCTGATGCTTTTGGAGCTCCCTTGGGAGTGCTCTTGGAGCCTTCCTACAGTTTCTTGGGAGACTCTTGGGCCGTCTGGGAACCCATTAGGGCGTTTCGGAGCGATCTGTCGCAACATGGGGCCCTCTTGAATCGTCTGCGGGGACTCTGGTGTCCTCGTCGTCCGTTTGGGGGCCTGCTTGAGCCTGAAAAAAGCACGCGCCAAGCCGCGACGCGACAAGCCGCGACGCGCCCTCGGGATTCCTAGGGATTCCTGGGTAGTGAAATCCTTAGGGATCCTTGCAAATCGTAAAGATTTGCACGGTTTCCCAAGGATGTCACTAGTGGCCGGGACGGGCAAGGCGTTCGATTTGCGCAAGGAGTCTAAAGGATTCGCAAGGGATTCCCAAGGATTCGTAGGGGGGCCCAGGGAGTCTCACGGATTCCTAGTGATTCCTCGGGAGTCGCAGGGATTCCTAGACAGTCGTAGGGAGTCGTAGGGATTCCTAAGGAGTCTTAAATTTCTAAGGATTCCAACGGATTCCTATGGATTCCTAAGGTTTCCTACGGATGCCTAGAGATTCTTCAGGATTCATGGATTCTTATGGATGCCTAGGGATTCCTAAGGATTCCTATGGGATTCCTAGGGATTCCTAAGGATTTCCCTCGGGACACGGACGGGCAAGGCGTTAGGATTGCTCAAGGAGCCTTGAGGATTCGCAGGGGGGTCCTAAGAATTCGTAGGGATTCGCTGGGATTCCTAAGGGTGCCTAGGGATTCCGAAGTCGCAAGCTCTTAGGAATCATTGCAAATCGTTCGGGTTCGTTAGGTCTCCGAAGGATATCCCTAGGGACCCCGACGCGCAGGGCGTTCGGCTTGCGCAAGGAGTCTTGAAGATTCGCTAGGGATTCCAACGGATTCCTAAGAATTCCTAGGGATTCCTTAGGATTCCTAGGGGTTCCTAGGGATTCCGATGGATTCCGATGGATTCCCACCTAAGGATTCGCACGGATTCCCGCGGATTTCTAAGGATTCCTAAGGATTCCTCCGGATTCTTGAGGGTTCCTATGGATTCTTCAGGATTCCGATGGATTCCTGTAGATTCTTATTGATTTCTAAGGATTCCGATGGATTCCTAGGCACTCCTATGGATTCCCAGGGGTTCCTAGGTAGCAGAATCCTTAGGAATCTTTGCAAATCGTAAGAATTCGCTGGGTTTCCGAAGGATTTCTCTGGGGACCCGGACGCGCAGGGCGTTCGGTTTGCGCAAGGAGTCTTACGGATTCGCTAGGGATTCCTAAGGATTCTGAGGGATTCCTAAGGATTCCCAGGGATTCTCAAGGATTCCTAAGGATTCCGAGGGACTCCTAAGGATTCCGAGGGTTTCCTGTGGATTCCTAAGGTCCTCAGGATTCCTATGGATTTATGCGGACCCCAAAGGATTCCTAGGGATGGATTCCTGTCGATAAGGATTCTTCCGAGGGATTCCTAAGGATACCTACGAATTCCTACGGATTTCTAGGGACTCCTACGTAGTAAAATCATTCGGAATCATTTCGAATCGTAAGGATTCGCTGGGGCCCCGAAGGATTTCACTGACCCAGACGCGCAGGGCGTTCGGTTTGCGCAAGGAGTCTTAAGGAATCGCTAGGGATTCCTATGGATTTCAGGGATTCCTATGGATTCCGGAGGATTCTTAACGTTCCTAAGGATTCCTATGGAGTCCTAAGGAACGCTTTGGATTCTCAAGGATTCCGAAAGATTGCGAAGGATTCCTAAGGATTCCTGAGGATTCCTAGGGATTCCTAGAATCCCTATGGATTCCTAAGGATACCTACGAATTCTATACGCTTCGCGTATCCCCACCAGCCCGTCCAGAAACGACGCCCAGGCGAGTAGAGGGTCGTCCTGAGGGGCTTTTCGGCGTCTTGGGTGCCTCGGGGGGCCTCTGTGGGCCGTTCGGGATCCTCTTTGGGGCCTCCTGGGGGCCTCTTGGGGCCATCTTGGGGCCTTTGGGGGCCTCCTGGGCGCTTCTTGGGGCATCCTGGGCGCTTCTTGGGTGCCTCTGGGGGGCCCCTTGGGGCCTCTTGGGGGTCTCTTGGGGGCCTCCTGGGGCCTCCTGGGGGGCCTCGGAGCCATCTTGGAGGAGATCGATCAACGAAGGGGGATTCTTAACATTCCTAAGGATTCCTATGGAGTCCTAAGGAACGCTTTGGATTCTCAAGGATTCCGAAAGATTGCGAAGGATTCCTAAGGATTCCTGAGGATTCCTAGGGATTCCTAGAATTCCGATGGATTCCTAAGGATACCTACGAATTCCTACGGATTCCGATGTGTTCCTCTGGATTCCTACGGATTCAAAGGAGATTCTTGAGGATTCAGAAGGATTCTTAGGGATTCCTACGGATTCCTAGGTAGTGACATGCTTTGCAAATCGTAAGGGTGCGCGGGGTGTTCGGTTTGCGCAAGGAGTCTTAAGGATTCGCTCGGGATTCCTCGGGATTCCTGAGGATCCCTAGGGATTCCTGAGGATCTCTAAGGATTCCTAAGGATTCCCAGTGATTCTTTTGGATTCCTCAGGATTCCTGGGGACTCCTAAGGACTCCTAAGGATGCCTAGGGATTCCCAGGGATTCCTAAGGATTCCTATGGGTTCCTGAAGATTCCGAGGGATTCCCTAAGGATTCCTAAGGATTCATATGCATTCCTCCGGATTCCGAGGGATTCCTAAGGATTCCTAGGGATCCCGGAGGATTCCTCACGATTCCTAAGGATTCGTAAAGATTATGCAGGATTCATAAGGATTCCGATGGATTCTCCAGGGTTCTCGAGGATTCCCAGGGATGCCTAGGGGCTGCTAGGTCATGATATTCCCGGAAAGGGCTTCAGGCCCAGGGTTCTCTTTTAGAGGTTTCCCAACAGTTTTGACGGGAAGAGGGCCGGCGGATTTCTTTTGCTATAAATAACGAGTGGGAAGAATTAACATTTCAGGATGTCCCTAGCGAAACGCTTATTTTTGAAATCGCGATCGATAAAGCACAGGGTGCGGGACACGTTTTGGTCAGGGGCACGGATTACGTATATTCCTATAGATTGGCCCCATCCAGAGGGCCCAGAGGCACGCATCTGTGTGTTTCAACGTATGTTCCTATAGATGGGCCTTCTCATTGCTTATAGATTGGCCTTCTCCAGGGGCGCGAAGCCGTGCGTTTTTACGTATACTCCTATAGATTTGCCCTCCCCAGGATTACGTGTGTTCCCATAGACCATAGACTGGCCCTCTCCAGGGGCACGAATCCGAGCGTTTTACGTATATTCCTATAGATTTGCTTTCTCGAGTGGCCTCAAGATCGGCCCTCTCCAGGGGGACGAGACCGTGTGTTTTTACGTATGCTCCTATAGATGGGCCCTCTCATTGCTTGTAGATTGGCCCTCTCCAGGGGCACGAATACGTGTGTTTATACGTATATTCCAATAGATTTGCCCTCCCCAGGAATACGCGTGTTCCCATACATTGGCCCTCGCCAGGGGCACGAATCCGTGCTTTTTACATATATTCCTACATACGCGCCCTCTCATTACTTATAGATTGCCCCCCCCATCCAGGGGCACGAATTCGTATGTTTGTACGTGTATTCCTATAGATTGGTCCTCCCAGGATTACGAATGTTCCCATCGATTGACCCTCTCCAGGGGCACGACTCCGTGTGTTTTTTTACGCATATTCTTATAGATTTTCTTTCTTGAGGGGCCTCAAGATTGACCCCCTCCAGGGGCACGAATACGTGAGTTTTTATTGATATTCTTACAGATCGGCCCTTTCGAAGGGTTCCAGGAAGCCCCAGGAGGCCCCAGTAGGTCCCAGGAAGCCCCAGGAAGCCCCAGGAGATCCCAGGAAGCCCCAGGAGGCCCCAGGAGGCGCCAAGAGGCCCCAGCAGGCCCCAGGAGGCCCCAGGAGGCCCCAGGAGGCACCAGCAGCCCCCAGGAGGCTCTAGGAGAGCCCATGAGCGCCCTGGAGGCCCCAGGAGGCCCCAGGAGGCCCCAGGGGCTCGAACCTGAGGGTGCCCCAGGATGCCCCAGGAAACCGCAGAAGCTCCCAGGAAGACGTATATTTCTATAGATTGGCGTCTCCAGGATTATGCGTGATCCTATAGAGCGGCCCTCTCCAGGGTCACGAATTTGTGTGCGTGTGTGTGTGTGTGTGTGTGTGTGTGTGTTGAAAAAATAGGTTTCTATAAAATGTTTCGAGGGGCCCCAGATTGGCTTTCTCCAGGGACACGAAGGGCCCAGGAGGCCTCAGGAAAGCTCCTGGGGAGAAGCGTGAAAATACATATGTTCCTACCGCCCCAGGGCGGGAGAAGCGTGAAAACATATGGATTCCTAACGTCCGCCGGCGAGAGAAGCGTGAAAACACTTGCCACAGGGCGCGGGAAGCGTCCCTGGGCAGAGTGAGTCCCTCGAGACATCGTCGTCGTTGTCGTCGTCGTCGTTGTCCTCTGGCCCCGCGCCGCTTTCGCGGCGGCGCCTGGGCGGCTGCGGCGGCGGCGCCAACACCAGTGGCGGCGTCCAGCTCCGGTACAGTTGCTCGCAGTGCTTCTACCTGCCAGTGCACCCCAAGTTCTGGCTCCGCTGCGTGAAGGCCCAGCACCGGCACACGCCGGGCTGCACCGAGCAGCGCGGGGATTGGCGCTGCCCGTTCGAGGGGTGCCTGCAGCTGTGGACCTGGGACACGGCCGGGAAGTTGCGGGCCATCCTTGTGCCGGAGACGAACGCCCACGATTCCCGCATGCAGATGATGGTCATCGGGGCCACGTCGCCGTCCCAGGAGCACACCATCACTTTGCTCAAGACCGCGAGGCTGCTGGAGGCGGTGCAGCGCGCGGACGGGCCCATTCAGCAGCTCGGCAAGCCGGCACTCGTGGCCGCCGTCAAGCAGCTGAACGAGGAGGCGTACGGGCGGGCGCTGGCGCCGGGGCTCGAGCTGCGCAACAAGCGGACGGCCGGGAAGAAGGAGTTTCGAGATAAAGGGGATCTACCCGTACTGCGAGGACCCCGCGCTCAGCCTGGGCAACTGGGGCGCGACGTGCAAGGCCATGCACTTGCCTCCATCGACGCCAGTCATGGACCCGGGCTACCTCCAGGAGGTTCTCGATTTGTTGGTGTGCTTCTTAGTGCGAAGTCGGGGGCGGCAAGGAGGTCAGGAAGGCGCGCTGGGACGCCATCAGCACCCAGAACTCCAAGCGCGACGGCTACTTCAGCAAACTGTAGGCCGTCCCTGTCTTCGCGGCGCTGCGCCCCCGGGGTCGGCCAGCGTCGTCTTCCCCTCTCCGCCGTCTCGCTGGGCATTGTGCCCCCAGGGCCAGCCCTTGTCCTTCCCTTTGTTTTTTGTTTTTTTCCCTCTCTTTCTCTCTCTTTTTTTTTTTTCTCTCTCTCTCTCTCTCTCTCTCTCTCTCTCTCTCTCTCTCTCTTTCTCTTTTTTTTTGTTTCTCTCTCTCTCTCTCTCTCTCTCTTTGTATCTCTCTCTCTCTCTCTTTCTCTCTTTCTCTCTGTCTCTCTACTTTTTTCTCTTCCTCTCTCTCTCTCTCTTTGTCTCTCTCTCTCTCTCTGTTTCTCTCTCTCTCTCTCTCTCTCTCTCTCTGTCTCTCTCTCTCTATCTCTCTCTCGATCTTTCTTTTTTTGTTTTCTCTCTCTCTCTCTCTCTTTCTCTCTTTCTCTCTCTCTCTCTCTCTCTCTCTCTCTCTCTCTCTCTCTCTCTCTCTATCTCTCTCTCTCTCTCTCTCTCTCTCTCTCTCTCTCTCTCTCTCTCTTCTCTCTCTCTCTCTCTCTCTCTCTCTCTCTCTCTCTCTCTCTCTCTCTCTCTCTAGTCTCGGCTCGTGAGTATCCACTCAGAGCGAGCCCCAGGAGGCAGCCTTCGCGCGGCGAGACTGTCATGCCGATGCCTCCTACCCCATCCCAAGTATACGCAGGCACTGCCGCCATGGAGCCACCAGCCCAGCGCCGCAATGCCCGCACATGCAGTTCGTTTCACCCTCAGCTACTGCCTGGACCGCTTCGAGAATGCCACTGCCAATTCATCGAGCATAGGCACCAGGACCTTGTCATCTACGTGCCCGTCCTGCACGGGCGCGACCTTCCTGAACCACCTGGCCACGCCCCACGCGTGCTTCGAGCGAATCTTCACGAAGATCTCCGCATTCTAGAGCACGACGTGTACCACCTGCGCGCTGAGCTGCGCGCGCACCGAGCTGACCACCACGCCCACCCACACGGCACTAACGCCGACACCGACGACTTCGTCCAGCACTTGCCCACCCCGCTACGGCCAGGTAATCGGGGGGGGGTCGGGCTCCCGACTGCTGAGGGAGACGGTGCTGAGAGCGGTCGGGCGGGTCCCACGCCTGCCGTCGTCGCGCCGTGCGCGACAAGCAGCCGGACCCCGACCCCCCCCCGGGAGCGCTTCCGCGGCCTCGCCAGCACCGCCCTCACCTTCACCGGCATTATCCCGCTGAACTTCGGGTGCGTCCTCGGCCCCACTTTCGGCATCGTTCTCGGCATCGTCAACGCGGTCCTGCGCACCATCGGCACGGGCACCAGGAGCGTCGTCAACAACATCGTCGACTCCACCAGCACGGCGGGCCCAGCCCACCCTAAAAGGGCCGTCAAGGTCGGCAGCATGATCTTCGGCGCCATCAGCACCGCCTGCGGCTCCAAGGGCACGGCGGGGCTGGCCCGCCCCAAACGTGCCACCTTTTTCGCCGCCGTCATGCTTGTCGTCGCATCGACCCCAGCATCGACACCAGCACTGCCGACCGCATTGACGCCAGCCCCGACGAGCCCACCGTCATCACCTGCCCTGTCCCCTCGCCCGTGCCCGCCAGCGAGGGTGCAGTCTTCAGGCGCACCTTCGGCTGCGGGGGCCGCCATGCCACGATATGTCATGTCCTCGGCACCTGCAGTGATGAGCCTTTCAACATCCTCTGTCCTGACGCCTCGCCCAGGGCCGCTGGCGAGGGTGCAGTCTTCAGGCGCACCTGACGTCAGTGGGGCTGCCCTGCCATGCCATGACCCGTCCGCCTTGTCGACGTCAGCGCCCGTGCCAATGCCCGCATCGACGTCAATATTGACGCCAGCATCGTCCTCGGCAGCACCCACGCCCACGTCCATGACGGACCACACCCCAGCACCGCAGACAGCACCGAAGCCAACTCTAACGACGGCACTGCAGTCAGCCGCGACGCCAGCGGGGTGCACAGATTCGACACCATCCCCGCCCCCTCCCTCGCCCAGCCCCGCTAGAGGAGGAGGAGACGACGACGACGACCACGACGACCATGACGACGCTGCACCGACGCCGGCTCCGATGTCAGCATCGACGCTCGCATCGACGGCAGCAACGACCACAGCTTCGCCGACTCCGACGGCAGCATCAACGGCAGCGATGACGGCTCCGACGGCAGCACTGTTAGCATCGTTAGCAGAGACGGCAGCTACGATGGCAGCATCGTTAGCACCGCCGGCTCCGACGTCAGTATCGCTAGCATCGTCGGCTCCGACGGCCGCATCGACGGCAGCGACGACGGCTCCGCCCGCAGTTTCACAGACTCCGACGGCGGCATCGATAGCATTGCCGGCTCCGACGGTAGCATCGACGGCAGCGATGCCACCACTGCCAGCGGCGGCTCCGACGTCAGCATCGACGGCAGCGACGCCAGTACTGCCAGCGACAGCCCCGACGGCCGCAAGAGACGCCAGCACCACAACCAGCCACTCTTGCGCTCCTTGTACGGCCACTCGCTCGGCGGCGCCTTCAGGCCCGCCGAAGCCTGGTGACCTACAAACCTCTCCTCGGCATCATCGTCTCTCAGAGCTGCAGCCAGCTTCGACGCCAGCTCCGACGTCCGAATCGAGGCCAGCACCGATGCCAGCCCCTACGACAGCACCACCAGCGTCAACATCCACGCCTGCGCCTACGTCGGTACCTACGCCAGAGTTGCAGGCCGCATCGACGCCAGCTCCGGCGTCTCCATCGAGACCAGCACCGATGACAGCTCCTACGCCAGCACCGCCAGCGACAGCACCTACGCCTGCGCCTACGCCCGTACCCACGCCAGAGTTGCAGCCCAGCGTCTTCGCCAGCTCCGAAGTCTGCATCAGGCCAGGCCGACAGCAGAGCTCCTGCGAACAGCACCAGCAGCGGGCACCACCCACTATTAGCCCATCCGCCGTCCCGCCGTCGAAAGGGTAGCGCGACACCATGATTACGAACCCCTGGGTGTCCCTAAGGCCAACAACCGCGACCACCGCAATCGATTGAGCCCCACGTCGCACATCAACGTCTGCACCGACGGCCGCATAATGGAGGGCAGCCTCGAATGGTCCTCAGTCAGTCAGTGTCTCCGACGCCTCGTCCAGCGCCGGCGGGCGGGAGTGCAGCCTTCATTCCAAATCTGATTTTCAAACCATAAATTAAAAAACACGGGCTGATAGCAAGCAAAACTCCACCGCTAGTGGGGCCGCCATGTCATGTCATGACACGTCTGCCTCGTCGATTTCATCGTCTGCGGCACAGTCTGCATCGACGACAACATCGACGACAGCATCGGTACAGTCTGCTCAAGGCTGGCCCAAGGCCTGGTGGGGCGGGCGGGCCACTCAGTCCGAGTGGGGCTGTACCCGCTTAAATTCCCGATCGCACCTGTACCCCCTTAAAGTCCCGATCCCTCCACAGTCGTCGACGCCACCACGGACGGCAGCTGGGACGTCCACATCGGCAGCGACAGCTTTCGGGCGACCGCCTTCGACGTCAGCAGTGGCAGACTCGCCGGCGGCGGCACCAATGTTGGCACCCACGTCGGCATCTACGGCAGCGCCCCAAACGGCCTCCACAGCGGTATCCACGACAGCACCCATGACTGCATCCACGGCGGCATACACGGCCGTGGCTCCCGCGCTCACGTCCGCACCGACGCCAGCATTGACGACAGGGTCGGCCTCAGTATCGTCGGCACCGACGGCGGCATCGACGACGAGATCGACGCCGTCAGGCACACCCACGGCTATTGGGACCGCCATGCCACGCCGTATCATGTCCGCCACGTCGACACCTACGCCTGCGCCACGGCCCGCATCGACCCCAACAGCGACGTCAGCACCGACGACCGCATCGACGCCTGCCTCGACGAGCCCTCGGCCATCCACTGTCCTGACGCCTCGCCCAGGGCCGCTGGCGCGGGTGCCGTCTTCAGGCGCACCCTACGCTAGTGGGGCCGCCATGTCATGTCATGACACGTCTGCCTCGTCGATTTCATCGTCTGCGGCACAGCCTGCATCGACGACAACATCGACGACAGCATCGGTACAGTCTGCTCAAGGCTGGCCCAAGGCCTGGTGGGGCGGGCGGGCCACTCAGTCCGAGTGGGGCTGTACCCGCTTAAATTCCCGATCGCACCTGTACCCCCTTCAATTCCCGATCCCTCCACAGTCATCGACGACAGCACGGACGGCAGCTGTGACGGCCGCATCGGAAGTGCCAGTTTTCGGGCGGCCGCCGACGGCGGCAGCCATGTCAGACTCGCCGGCGGCATCGTCTACGGTAACATGTGTATTACTGAACGTATCAGAGCAAATAGGTGGGACAAAATGCGTTGTACTTTTCAAGAGCGTGTCAGGGCAGTGCTGTGCACAGTACCCCATGGGCACCCACTGCGACTCCCCGTGGGGCAACAACTACAGACCAGCGAAAACAGCCTCACAAGTAACACCTACGCCCACGACTACGGCGCCACCAACTCCAGACCCGCACGCAGCTCCGACACCAGCGACAGCGCCGGCCCCGAGTGCAGCCGAGACGTCAGCACCAATGACAGCAGCTCCGACGCCAGCATCGGCAGTGTCAGCATCCACGCCTGCCCCCTGGATGGCGACGTCAGAGCCGAAGGCAGCACCGACGTCCCTGTCGACGCCCGCACCGACGCCAGCACTGACGACAGCTCTGACACCAGCACCTCCAGCGCCAGCGGCCGCCCCCACCACGCCGGCACCAAAGCCAAAGTCACAGGCAGCAGCGACGTCAGACCCGACACCCACCCCGACGTCAACAGTGAGGCCAGCACCGACGACAGCTCCGACGCCAGCACCGCCAGCGTCACCACCCACGCCCGCGCCTACGCCGGTACCCACGCCAGAGTTGTAGCCAGCATCTACGCCAACTCCGCCGTCTGCATCGACGCTCGCATCCATGGCAGCATCGTCCATAGCTTCGACACCAG